AGATTGTGTGCTTCCTCCACTTCTGCTTCCTTTAAATTATGGTATCATCATCTAACTCATCCATCTTTAACTACTTTGCGTCCTTTACTTTCCACTATTTTTCCCAGACAAGTTGATGTTGAGACTTTACATTATATCTCTTGTCAAACTGTTAAACAGCTTGCTTTCTTATTTAATAAAAATGACTCTATTATTAATGAGTCTTTTGATTTAGTTCATTCTGAAGTTTAGGGCCCAATACCCACTCCCTCTATGAGAGGCTCATGATATTTTATGATTTTTGTTCATGATTTTTCTTGTTATACTTGGATTTACATGATGAAAAGTCAATCTAAGTTGCCTAATATCTATGTTAAATTTGCTACTATAGTTCGAACTCAATTCTTTAAAGTTATAGAAGTTTTTCATCGTGATAATGCCTTAAAATAATGTGATTCTAAACTGCTCAAATTTTTTGATGCTTTGGGTACAATCTCCTAATACTCATGTCCTTACAGCTCTCAGCAAAATGGCTGAGCTAAATGAAGACACCATCATATTCTTGACTTAGTTCGGGCCCTCCTCATTTCTTCTTCTTGTCCTAAATGCTACTAGGAGGAAACTACCTTAACTGCTGTCTATTGCATAAATAGAGTTCCTACCCTAGTTCTTGGTAATATTTCTCCTTTTGAGTGCTTTCATGGTATTCCTCCTAATTATAGTCTTTTGAAAGTATTTACCTATGTCTGTTTTGTCCTCTCCCTCCATACAAAACTACCAAATTGCAAGCCCGTGCTTGTGTTTGTTGTTTCCTTGGTTATGACCCTGATCATAAGGATTATCGTTACTGAGATCCCATATCTCTTTGCATTCGAATCTCTCATCATGTTGTTTTTTGGGAACATATGATGTTTTCTTCCTTAACTAATTTCTCCTCCGTTTCTCCTCCTTCACCTTCTATTTTCACAAATTTCTTGACTGATCTTTTTTCAAGTGACTTTAATGCAAATTCCCCTGTAGAGCCCACTATTGATGCTATGCCTGCTCCTAATATGCCTATTGCCACGACTCGAGATGTTTTCTTACAAGTCATATCTCTTGAGCTTGTATTGTCCAATGATACTTAGCCCCACCGTGTAAGAAACCCTCCTTTTTACCTTAGTGATTACCATTATTTTTTCATTGTTCTCCAATTACAAGAACCCAAATCCTTTAAGGAAGCCTCTTATGACCCCTTATGGCACCAAGCTATGAATGAAGAATTACGGGCTTTAGAGAAAATGCACACTTGAGATCTTGTTGATATTCCTTCTAGTAAAACTCTTATTGGCTATCCATGGGTATATAAAAACAAAACTCATTCTGATGGCTCTTTAAAGCAATGTAAGGCTTACTTGGTGGCCCAAGGGTCTAAATAGGAATACGGTTGTGATTATGAGGAGACTTTTGCACTTGTTACATGCATGACTTCTATTCGTAGTCTTCTAGCCATTGCTGCTGTTAAGCACTAGTCCCTTTATTAGATGGATGTTAAAAATGCTTTTTTAAATGGAGATATAGAGGAAAAAGTGTATATGAAGCCTCCACCCTAGTATTAGCATCTGAAGGACAAGGTTTGTCATCTTTATCAAGCTTTATATGGGCTCAATTAGGCTCCTCGTGCATAATTTGCTAAGTTTAGTAACATTATAGATCAACTAAGCTTCACTTATTGTCCTCACAACTTGGCTCTTTTTAATCGATCTACTACTTCTGATATTTTTTTTTTGTTATATGTTGATGACATGATTATCACAGGCAATGATGATATAGGAGTCCAGGAGCTCAAGATATACTTGGGCCAGCAATTTGAAATGAAAGATCTCGGTAACCTGAACTATTTTCTTAGACTTAAGGTCTATCATAAAAGAGATGGTATCTCTCTCTCTCTGATCAAGTTTGCTATTGATTTGATATCTCAAGCTCATCTTTCTAATGAGGAGGTTGAAAATACTCCTATTAAGCCAAAATTTTACTGTACTTCCATTGATGGAACCTTATTGAATAATCTCACTCGTTATCGCCAGTTGGTTGTAGGCCTCATCTATCTTACTGTAACCCACCTTGACATTGCTTATGCAGTCCACATTGTCAGTCAGTTTATGTCAGAGCCTCGAACTACTCATTATGCAACAGTTCTTTGGATCCTTCTGTATGAAGGATCATCAAAGACACCCTATATCATGGGCTTCCCTTCTCTACTAGCTCCTTTCTTACACCGCAAGCTTACTCCAATGCTGACTAGGGTGATGTTTGTAATGATCGACGATCTATGATTGGTTTCTGTATCTTCCTTGGTCATTCCTTTATCTCTTGAAGAAGTAAGAAGCAGATGTTAGCCTCCTGCTCTATTGCTGAATTGGAAGACCGTGCACTAGTAGACACAACTGTTGAAGTACTTCGACTTTATTGGTTACTTGACAGGATAGGAGCATCTCAAAGCTCCTCCACAGACACATATTGTGACAATCAAGCGGCCATCAAGATTGCTCACAATGATATGTTTTATGAACAAACCAAACATATTGAGATTGACTGTCACTTTACTCGGTAGCTTGTTGTTAGGGGCACCATCCAACTTGTTCCAATTCGAACCAAACATCAACTGATAGACTTGTTTATGAAGTCTTTTCATCCGGGCTGCTTTCATTTTTTAACAGACAAACTCAAGTTGCTCTCTGTTAAGCCATTTTAAGTTTGAGTGGGGATATTTCTGTTAAACTATCTTAAGTTTGAGTGGGGATGTTATATAAAATATTCTTCAAATATTCTATCATTGTTATATATATATCCTAATCATTATTATGAGATATTATTTGATATTATTATGTAATTATTAATCATTATTAGGTTGTTTTTTTTTCTTGATATATATATTATACCTTTTAGTTCAATAATAGATAAGATATTTCTTCATACTTCTCTTGCTCGTTTCACTAACCTCAACGAACCCTTAGACTAATTTTCTTTTTTTTAATAAATATTTTCTCCTTAAAAAATGCATATTGCCTAAAACCCAGATTTCTGCTATGTTATCACTTTCACGTCTATGTACTGTGTTGTTTTTGTTGGTCTGTTTGTTTTTTTACTTTGGTTGTAATATTTCTCCCCTAGAAAAAAAAAGCTACTTATTAGTGACAACAAGAAATAATCAATTAAGGATCAATTTAAATGATAAAATATTCAAACATCACGAGATGCTGTATTGTAATTTTGATTACGTGTAAAGTATGATTTTAAATTTTAATAGCTCTCAATGAAAGAATAACATATAGTTTATGCATAGCATGTGTTGTTGACGATTCAAAAAGTTTTGAAATACTTCCTGTTCACTAAGTAAGGGCAGTTTGTTTTAACTTATTTTTATAAAAAAATTACTTATTTGTTGAAAGAAAATTTATTTTATAAGTTTTCATTATGTTTGTTTAAACTTTTAAAAATAATTTAAAATTGATAAAAAATTTTTTAATTATTTTAAGAAGTTATTTTGAAAGTAATCCAATGTAATAGATGACATGGAATGTTTTTAAGAGATGTGATACGTAAAGATATTATAAAATTTTAAAATAATATAATAATAAATTATTTTTATAAAACAAAAATAAGGGAATATATGATAAAATTTAAAAATAACTAATTAATAATCAAACATAAAATAATATATGTTTTTTATACAATATCTATAAAATAATTTTTTTATAAAATCTCTAAACTATTTAAAAATTACTTAATTTTTAATCTTAAACAAAGGGTCCCTAAGCCCTTTTAATAATCAACCATTGAAAATGACAATTATTTCTCTGCATTCTAGCACTAGAATTCTATATTTATTCGTTACAGTGATTTAAAGTCTATCAACCTCTTGAAAAAAAAAAAAACAGAAAAATCTTTATTGTTGCCTTTGCATTTCAAAAAAGGAAAAAAAAGAGCTCAAAATGAGAGAAAAATCTTTTAAGGTAATTTTTTATATTTTTATTAACATATTTGAATTTGAGAACTTATTTAAAGCATATTAAACTCAATACTTCAATTCAATCCCATCAATATGAAAAGCTAAACTAATTTATTTAGCTTCACAACAAATGGAATAACCTTTGAAATATCATAAGAGAAAATATATATCTGGTACACCATGTCATTTATATTTTGTTTAATAAAAACATATTATGTTAAATGATTTTAAATATAAATTGATTCTACAATTAATTTTGATTAAAAAAAGAAATCAAAGATTCTATTATAAAAATAAGATTATTAAAAATAATAATTTAAAACAAAATAACACTGATGCATGACATTTTTTTTATTAAACAAAACATGAATAACATGATGTATCAAATACATACAAAAATTTCTTGAAATCCTTGAGACCTTTCTGGATGATTGGTGAAAGATTTCCTTTAAATTATCTTGGTGAAGATTAAAGATTGTGTTCCCATAAATCTCATTCTCAAAAACAGTATAGAAAATGACAGATAAGTCCTACAAGAATTAACTAGAGTATGCTCCTGCACGACATATAAGGACACCTCAGCATTACTGATATTTTAAATATATATATATATATATGTTACTGTTTCTTTTACTGTAGAACAAACATTAATAAAAAATTATATTTTACAAAAAGAAAAAATTCAAATAAATTCCAACCAATTTTAAAATACCAAACTTCAAAAATTTACAAATCCAATTTTAAATTTTACAACTTTATTTTAATAAATTTTAAATTTATTTTTTTAAATTTTAATATGATTGAAAAATAAATAAATTTATTCTCTCTCTTAAAATTTGAAACAAGTTATAAAATCAAGCCAAACTTACAAATTTTAAAATTAGTTGAGACATAATTTGAATTAATGTCATTCTCCTTCCATTAATCCCTCTATCAGCTCTAACACCCTTTAAAATCCAAACAAATCATTTAACTCCATTAATTTAAGCTGATGTAGCACCAGATCATCATCATCATTACCTGAACTTGGTAACCAAAAGGGGGAAATAAAAATCATATATTGCAAGCTCGGATTTTCATCTCACATCACAAATTATTACAATGAACACATCATGCATCATGAAATATTCATCCGTGTTGATTAGCCCCAAGATATCTCCAGTTACATCAGAAATCGAGAACAAGATCATTGTTTGATTTCTTCTTTCTCTGCAAATCACAGTATCAACAAACCATAAATGGCATCTATTTTACCTGGGCGATCAAGATGCACTATAGGCTCTGCAACACACAACTAGAATGAAGACCAAGCTTTAACAACATATTCCAGCATAGTGAACAACACAGTTTCTTATTTCACTCTAGAAGCAGTGATACGGTGTGGCGCGCAAATATCGAACACCTGTCAGTTTTTCATCATAACTTGGTCTGATGTTTTCAGCCAGGACCACGAATTTGAGATTAAAGAGCGTAAATCCGTTCAACCTCTGAATTGGAGAATTCAGAATGATGCCATGAGTTGGATCCACTTCTTTTGGCATATTTCTGCTTCCTCATTGATCTGACTCTCTTGGACTTCACCACATAGTAAGTCATTGTGCCAATAACTCCAGATATTATCACTCCCCCAACTACTGTAACCAGAATCGCTGCCCACACATTCCTCCGACCGACGACTATGTAAGAGGAAGCGATAAATGCAACAGAAGTACAAACAGAAGCCAACCACATCAGCTTGTTAATCACCTCCACCACCCGTTTCTCAGCTTTAGTTTCCCCTCTAACCAAGGTAATTTGAACAACGACAACAGCCAAGGATGTAAAAAGTGCAATAGCATTAAAGATGAAGAAGATTTTAAAAGCCGAACTGCTCGCTACCACTGCACTGCCATCATCATCATCACCACCTGGTACAGTGAAAATAGCAGCGAAAGCAACCGTAGCAAACAACACAGCCACAATAGTCACCGAGTTTGTGGCATTGTTAATTCCTTCCCTGTGGAGTTTTCTTAACTCTTTAGAAATATTATGAACATTTTTGTTGGTTTTCCTGGTTTGTTCAAGCTGGATGTGAACATCTTTCTTGATCTGAGTAACAGTGTTCCTCAGTTCATCTCTTGGTTGGTTGAGATCGTTAGCTCTAAGGGCCCCAAAATGAGAGAGGCATTCCTTTATGTCCGTAGATTCTTCTGAGAGCGGAAGACCTTCAGCAATGTCAAGAGCTGTTTTGTGGTCTCTGGTTAGTGCATTAACATTGGTGTCTGGTAGTCTCAATAATTCATTCACTATCTGTGAAGGAAAATGAGAAGGCACAAATTAGAACTTTATCCATTGAAAAACTCACAACAAAAGCTCATATAACTTTTCTTTCAGGGGAAGTAAGGTCACTACATATATATATATATATAGTTTAAGATGCGCAAATATGAAATATCCATAAACTTTTTCTCCAAGAATTCCTAATATCCTTAAATTAATAATGATGCATGGGTGCCCATTAACTTTATAAAAGAGGCCAACCTTATCCAATCCATTAAATGGTCAATGTCAGAATATCTTAACGAATTGTAAAAAGTTGGCCTCTTTTATAAAGTTAATAGATGCCCATGAATCATTGTTAACTTAAAAATACCCAAAACTCCTAGAGAAAGTTTTTGAACATTTTTGCACCTTGATCCTATATATATATATATATGAAGCATGTAATGCTCAGCAATTAACAGTGTTACCTCTGCTCGCTTTTTTCTGGTAGCTACATGTAACGCTGTGTTACCAAATTTGTCGGGAAGCATAACAATGGCTGCATCTGCCTCAAGAAGCAGTTTAACCACATCACAACTGTGTCCTTTCACAGCCATATGCAAGGCAGTCTGTCCTTTCTTGTCAGTCCGCCGTGCCAATTGTGGGTCTTTACCGAGCAGTGCTTTTACAACTTCTACATGGCCCTGACGCGCAGCTAAATGCAATGCGTTTTTGCCATTGGACCGAGGGATTTCCAACAAGCTACCGTCCTTCGACAGCAGTTCATTTACCACTTCCGTGTGCCCTCTTGTTGCTGCAGATATCAGTGGAGTAGCATTTGATGGGCCGAATGTTTTGCTTAATCCTTGATCAAACTTTAGGAGAACCTGGACAATGGCTGCAAATAAAATTGCCAGCAATTACATTGATGACCAGAAAATATAGCACTTCCATTACATGGAAACACTAAATTATTTCCAAAAAATAGAAGCATTTGATGTATTCTTTTACAGCATCTCATCTTCTAGACTGTATAATTTATGTTGACACTATCTCATCCTTAACACCTTCTTACCTAAGAACAGCATGCTCAAGGAAATGAAAACCACTTTAAAAGAAAAAGATTAAGAAATTAAAAAGGCTTTCGGCTTCTCAAATCTCCAGTGGCTAGTTTATACATTGATAAGTCCGGTGACTGATAAACAAAACAGTGACGTCATACACATTTGCATACTCATGTTCTTATAACATCCCAAAATTTTCCTCCCAAGGATTTAATATGAAGCCTAATCATTTAGATCTAGCTTCTAAATGACAACTCTTCATATATGCAATTTTTAGAAACATTTTTGTTTTCCAATAATAGTATGTTTTAAAATAACTAGAAAATAACTTATAGAGCAAATATAAAATTTTATCCCTAAAAGACATACTACCTTTCACCCTAGTCCTTAACTCCTCTACATGAGCTAAACCCTCAAAGTTCATAACTTACCACAAGTTACACTCTCTGTTGAACCACAGAGTATAATATCTTACTCCACTTTGAGGGACTGAATCTGGTATCAAACCACCCTAAACCTAAAAGCCAGATTTGATTGCAACTAATCTAAGTTGCAGTCAGGTAGGATCACAATAGTGGCAAAACTCTCCCAGCAAATTTTTATCGCAGCTGCATACTCAAAACTCAAACCAAACCCACCAGTCAAACTAGCACAAGCCTCTACCAGCTAAGCCATGTGCTCATTGTTGTGGCTAATTCTATTGCATACATGTCTTAGAAGGTACAAACTTTGAAGTGATGAATTCATACAAGGGAACAAAACAAGAGGTGACATACTTATGTCCTTGAATCCTATAACAAAGTCAATCCTTCAAGATAACTCACCATAAGTTAGTCTCACTGTTGCACGGTTGCACCAAATATTATGCATACCCTAATTTGAAAGACAGCATACATACATGTTTTATAACTTGTGAGCTTTGAAGGGCTAGTTCATACAAGGGAATAAATACAAAGACTAAAGTGTAACAGGGTATTTAGTAAAATGTTTCTACAACCAAATTTTTCATTTACCCATAATTCTAATACCCAAAACTAGAACAGCCAAATCAGAACAAGAAAATTCTCACAATTAGAACAAAACTAGGAGGCCTGGTGATGCAGGAATATGAGGAATAAGCCATATTGTTCAGTACTAGTAAATATATAGACATATGTATAGATCCTTATACCATGATGGCCTTGACTTGCAGCAATATGCAATGGATCAAAGCCTGAGCGATTCTTCTTGGAAAGAGTCTCCTTATTTGAATACTTAAGCAATTCCTCGACAACATCAAGATGTCCTTTATCCGCGGCTGTGAACAGAGCAGTCTCTCCCAATTCATTCTCTTCATTCACAACAGATGCTCTCACCTCAGCTATCTCTGTGTCCACATCATCGCCACTGAAAGTCCCCATTATCTGAGAATCGATGTCGCCGAGGATCTGCTTCACGGCAGCGAGATCTCCCCGTTGAGCCGCCAAGTGAAGCTCGGTATCGTTGTGCCGTCCAGTCACTTGCTTCACGTACTTCTTCTTCCCAGCTTGGTCGATTCTCTTCCCGGAGTTCGACAGCACCAAAGCCGGCGCCGTCGTGGACGACGGAGACGGCGATGGGGATATTTCCGAAAGTGGGTTCGGAGTTGAACTCATCGGACCCTTCTTTGTTAACCTCCTGTTTATCCACCAATATACAACACAATTAAGAATCGAATTATCAAAAATTCAAGAGAAAATAGCAGCCATAACTAAAATTTCCCATCAGATCATCACAAAGCACACACAAAATCTCAAGGGAAAAAAATTACTAACCCAGAAGAAATCCCAGACGATTGCGCGGTATGCGAACTAGAAAGACTTTGGTAAACAGATAAAGCAAGAAGCTTGAGAGCTAAAAGGGAGTGAAATACTAAAATCCAAAGCAGTAGGTAAAGAGAGTGAAGGAAGGTGATGTTAGTTAGACGATTGGATGATGTTGAAGAAGGAAAAGTGGTGGTAGAGAGGGAAAAGCAGGAAAGAAGAAAGCGGAAGGAAGAACGAAAAAGAAGAGAAGACAAGTTGAGATTTTTCACTGAGAAAAAAAAAATGAAATTGAAATTGAAATTATATATATAAATTTGTGTGTAATAAATGATGGATTATTCTTATCCCGATGCTGTGTTGCGTTATTTTTCTTCTTTAATCTGTGTCGTTTTTCTCCCCGAGATTGGTTTCATTTCACGTTGCCTGACAAAACATCTTGATTTCGAGATCGGTTACATCTCACGTTTCAAATTTCAAATGGATTTCGGATTCCTTGACTATGAAGGAAGAGAAAGACGGAGAATAATGAATAAGAAGAAGAATTTTGTGAATTAGATTTTTAAAATATAAAATATTTTCAGTTTTTTTATAATTAATTAATGAGTTTTTTTATGGAAAAAAACTCTTAATAAATAAATAATCTACTCCTTTATTTTAAGTAGACACTTTATTAAATAAAAATAAATATAAAAAATATATCAATTTAAAATAATAAATTATCTTATTGAAAATATAATTTAATTAAAAATATTTTATATTTTTTAAATGACTGAATAATACTTTTTAAAACAATGCATTTTAATTTTTTTATATTTTTCAGATTTTTAAATGAAAAATGAAAAATATATATAATTTTTGAACCTGAAATAACTCAATCTTTTACACAATCCTATCCTTACAATTTTTTTATCATGATACAACTAAGTCTTCATAATTTTTTTTAACTGAAAAAAATTAGAACTATACATGTACTAAATTTAAGAATTAAATTGATATCTGAAGGAAAAAACTTAGATACTTAAAAATATATTACCCCTAAGAAAAAGGTTAACTCTGTTTACCAAGACACAATCCTCCACGTTGCCAACTAAATGAATCTTTGTTTTTCATAGAAGGATTATCATTATTATGAGTATTAAGGTTTGAATTTTGTATTCATTGTATGTGATCTGAATGAACAGACAAGTTGATGGGCCAGGACACGAGGAAGACGATATTTTCCATATCGGAAATTGCCGAGAAGAGAGACTTGTTAGTATTGTTACGTTAGGTGTGCTTGTGGATGGCGGGTTTCACTCTGTTGGGATGTTTCCAGGAAGCTCCCTCGCTTCCAAAAGCAACAGAGATTAAAGGACCCCAGATTTGGAAAGTGATATTGAAGGACTGGGATCCTTGTTTGACTGAATATTACAGGGTTAAATGATAAAAATATTCAAACAAATTTTATTTTGTATCTTTATATCAATGATAATACATGAATACCATGAAATTTTTTTTTTTATAAAGGCATCATTCCCCCATCCGTTAAATTTGCTTAAAATCTGTTAACAGTAATTGTTAAAATAAAAAAAGAAGAGGAAGAAAAATAAATAAATATAAAATGCAAAAATATTTAGAATTTTTCTTTTTCCCAGGTGCAAAAGTATCATGCATATTTGTTAATTTAAGAATATTAAAAAGCTCTTTAGGAAAAGGGTTCCAGGTATTGTTGTTCCTTAACCCAACACTTGGGGGTCCATGTTAAAGGACATTAAATCATTTTAACGGTTTGGGAGAGGGATGAAAAAAAAAACAGAGAGAGAGAGATTTTTTCTAGATGCAAAAGTATCATGCATCATTGTTAATTTAATAATATTAAAATTTTCAACAAAAAAAGTTTTTAAATATTTTTACTTCTTAACCTAAAATTTGGGGTACATGTTTAGATGTTAAGTTATTTTAATGGCTCAAGAAAAAGCGCCCCCTTAAAAAGAATTAATAAATACTTCTACACTTTAATTAACTTAAGGATATTAGGCTCTGCGAAAAAGTTCTTGAACCTAATAATATAATATTACAAACAAAATGTGCCTTTTTGGTTGGGAAAATATCACTTTAAAAATTAAAAGTTTAGTTAAAAAATTTAAAATACATGGAAATAATTAACAACGCAATTGCAAGACATAAAATTTCTATTATTTATAACTAAAATTTCAGGCAACAAAATTTGACCAAGCGTAAAGGTAGTAGGAGAGTGTTCTCTCCAAGTTGGTGAGCTTCCTTCCTTTCGCCAATGTTTTTTTCCAGTATCTGCTTCTTCTTGTCTTTACCATTAGATTTGTTTTCATGTTGTTGGTCTGATCCTTCGATTTTTCAAGCCTTCTCTCGTTTTAGTTTTCCTTCGGTTCCTATTTACAAGAAGGATGCATTCAACTTGGTCATCTGATTCCTATAATTTTCACCAAAGACAACATCAGTTATGTTGTTAAAGCAATGTCAACTTTTTTTATACTACTCTGATCATATTTATAAGTTACTTCCAACATATTTTTTCAGTATTAAGTAAAACTTTAAAACTTATTAACTCTGTCTTAAAATTTAATAAGTTCTCAACTTTGCTTCTATTAAATATACACCTTCAATAATATATTTTCTCTCTCCAACATTCAATAGAGGGTAAAAAAAATTTATGATAAAAATTTAATGACATGGCTTATAAATAGGACCAAATAAATTATTCTCTCTTTGCACTATAAATAGGATTAGAGAAAATATTAAGTATGTTTAAAGATAGTTTATCTCATAAAAATAACTTAAATAAACACATTCTAAGCTTTATATATTAATAGTTTATTTTTAAATTTCTCAATATAGGACTTCTTTTATTTTTAATATTCTCCCTATTACTTTTTTTTTAATCATTTTTCTTCTTGATTGAGGTTGTACTTTTTTTAGTGTTAGAAACTTTAGGCCAACTCAATTTCCTTTCTTCTTCACTCTCATTTTAAGCTCTTGTTTTTCCCCCCATTATCTTTCATTTCTTTTTTTTTTTTTTGTGTTCTTGTTTTTTGTTCTCAATCAAATGGCCCTTGATACAATATCTCATTCTTTATATTAAATATGCTTAATGATAATTTATCTCACCAAAGTAACTTAAACCATATGATTAAACATATCCCAGTCATTATATATATTTATGATTTATCTTTTAATTTCTCAATGTGAAACTTATTTTATCTCTAATACACTATCACATGTTTGCAAGAGTACTAGACAATAGAAGAATTCATCCAAGCAAGTTCCTTGCTCTTATTCATAAATGATGGAATCTTAGGAGTGATACTCAAGTTGTTCAATACTTCGGTAAATAACCACTTTGTCTTGTTTTTGTGTTCTTCTATGGATATTAAATTCATGAACTCAACAAGGCCATGGATATCCCAAGGCAATTTACTTGTCCTTCAACGATGGTCTCTTTATTTATCCTTTCATGTCCCTATCTAGGTTCATGTTATTGGGTTACCACTTGATCTCTACACTTCAAAGATTCCACAATCACTTGGACAACTTATTGATTGGGATGAGGGCTGTTTATTTCATTCCTGTGGATCAAAGTCAAGACTTTTGTTAAATTTTAATCTAGTGAAAGGGATTAGATTCTCACAACATAATGAATTAAGATACTTAATAAACGATATACTCACATTCTGCGTAAAATATGATTGCCTTCAATAAAAGATATCTATAGATAAAACAAATTAGACAATTCTTTGTGTATGAATGGTGTCTTAAAAACAATCATCAAGTCTCTCTGCAAATATTTCCATCCATTATGAATGTATCACGATAGTTTGTTACAAGTGTAATGGCATTAGACATGTTGCTTGTTGTGCTTTTCATAATTCCTGGTTCAACAACCCTTTTTCCAAAGCATTCCATAATTATGAAGGCAATGAATCTTCCATTGGAGTGACATTCGATTAGGATAGACTGTTGTATCTTGTTAAGACCACAAACAAAAAGAATGTGTGCATTTCATTGGAACACAACCTAAATATACAGCAATCGAAGCCACTCATATTTCTTCAGGTTGGTCCAATCGAGTAGTTGAAATACCATCAAGTGTTTTCATAAAAGAAGAGGATCATCATTAAACAAGGATTTGAACTTTAGCTTGTCACATTATAAGAAACTAATCCCTTCTATTAGACTCGATCCTTGTTAGTGATACAACAAGTTTTATCCCACCAAATAAAGTCGGTTACACGGATTGTAAGACACTATTATGCTTTATCAGCCCAACCCCCATTGGTGATACTTCACATGTATTTTATTTGTGAAAAGCTTTGCATTTGTTTCTGCATTTTGTTATCTGTCTTCTAGTTTTCTCGAATCATCTTGTGGTAAACTAAAGAACTTTGGGACTTTGTTTTATTTCCCACAGACACTTCGTGTACATGCTTTGGTCAAGAAAATCAAACTATGAAGAACAAATATAATTATCCATGATAAATAAATATGGCACAGTTTGCTTTTTCTCACGCGAAAATTCTAATTCAACGAGTACAAGAACAAGTTGATAACTGCTTATGATACATGCGCAATGGAGAATTAAATGTCATTAATGACCGACCAAGGCTAATAAAAAGCCACATATTTTGTGGTCAATTTCTCCATCAGAGCTAGCAATCATATGAACAAATGGCTACAAAGAGAGACTACAAATAAGATACTACATCTGAAATAATTAGAAGAAAGTCCTATTTTACATGTGAAAGGATCCTATTAACAAATGTGGGGGCCACAAACGGAGTCATATAATGGAGAAAGAGATGAACTTACAAGCTTTTTCACACTTTCCAACTTGTAGCACCATGAACTTCAGAAAACTGCAATGTCAAGATGAACTGTAATTAGTGTAGGTAATTTAAACAAGACTAAAATATACAAACTCTCCTAAATTTTGAGAGTTACACAGAACCCTTATCATCTTTAAGAGTTTAAAATTAACTTTCCTCACTTTTTATTTTTTTCACTACAAACTCCCCTGCCGTAGTTTTTTAGTTATCTTATTGATAGAAGTTTTCATATCATGTTAAAAACAAAAAAGACATATAGCAACTTATGTGACATCTAATGAAAGCTAACAACAGCTTTATAAAAATTTTATCCATAATTTTTATGTTATTATTAACTCACATTGACCGTCACGTGAGCTGCTATATATCTTTTTTAAATATATGACCTGATAACTTCTGTTAATAAAATAACTAAAAAATAACAGTAGGAAAGTTTGTAGTTAAAAAATCAAAGGGAGAATTATAATTAGGTCCCACACAAGGGAATTAATTACTATAAGATTCATTGACAACTGAACTAAACTGCATTAACAATTGGTTGTGTTATCAATACAATTTAGTTCAGTTGTCAATGGACCTTGTGGCAATTAATTTCCTTATGTGAGACTTTAATATAATTGTTCCAAAATCAAAAGGTTAGGGAGGTCAATTTTAACTTTTAAAGGCGAGGGGGGTAATTTTTTGATGGTAATTTTTCCGTAAAATCTGCACATTCCTTTCTTTTTTCAGGCACATATGGTGAGGAAGATAGCTTATGGAAAAGGATTTGGCAACTTGCGGTTCCTGAAAAGCTCAAAACGTTCAGGTGGCTGCTTGCTAAGAGCAAAAACAAATTACACACTGCTGATCTTTGAACGAGGAGAGGATTTGGAAAATCATGTTCCTGCCCCTTCGGATGTGATGATACTGGAACCTGCCTACACATTGTCCAGGACTGCTAGATAGCCAAAGAAATCTGGACTGATCTTGAGAAGCAGGAGCATTGGAGCGACTTCACAACAAAAGGCATCCAAGACTGGATAAAACGGAATCTGAAGAATGAACTTGGTACAGATCACACTAGAAAAATTTGCTGGAGTTCACATTTTGCCTATATATGTTGGGACCTTTGGGTTCTAAGATGCAAACGCCTTTTTGAGTTAGAGGAGGATATCACTCCAATAACTGCCTCCAGTTGCTTATTTAAAGCTGTTTCAGACTTACATTTTGTTGGAAAGTAAACGTGTATCTCTGGGGCGGTTTTGTCAGGCTTGAAACAGATGGTTCAGTTATGCCAAATGGGAATGCCACATGAAAAGGAGTAATTAAGGACTCTCATAATAGATGGCTTTTTGGTTTTCACAGAAAGCTTGACTCAGTCCAGATCCAAGCCATGGTAAGAGGATTAGAACTCTGTTGGTTTCATAATCTAAAGAACGTGGATCTTTTTAGTGATTCATCCCTACCAGGACGTTGTGCAGCAGCTTGTGAATATGCTAAATAGGGATTGGAACGTGCATACTACTTTTACGTATAGAGAAAAGAACTATCAAGCTCATAGACTAGCTAGTCATGCTCACTTGCAAACTCCATTTTTTATGTCTTTGATCATCCTTCCTCTTTTATTGGAGATGGAGAGTGATGAAAGATTTTAGGTTTTCTCTTTAGCTTTTGTCCGTTGTATTTGACTTTTCATTTTTTTTTTAAATAACGTATCCAGTTTCTACTTAAAAAAAAAAAAACATTGAGAGAGAGAGAGAGAGAATTTTGTGCAACTGCATTAAAATCTAGGAGAGTTTTGTATATTTTAACTTCTAAACAAATTATATATAGGCCTTCAAGACAATGCAGGTCTAAAATTACTATGTATAGCAACAAGTGAAATTAAGCCTTCACAGTAGTTATACATACCTAAGCTCAAGATAAATCAAATCGAACGACCAAACAAGTAATGTTGTCTGAACTTCCTCGTGTGTAGGCTTCTTTAATAAGTTCTCTGGATGCCGCTTCAGCATCTGTTATGTTTTGCACCAAAGACACAGCTTCCTGAAAGATAAGGGACAGGATAAACAGATTTATTTCAGTTTATAATAATAAAACACCAAAACTGTCTCATCCATATCCATATGTGTTGTAAGTGTATATGTATAACAGGTTTCAAATGCAAGTCAATTAGTTCATGCATCAAAATCATAGATGAGAAGGATAGAAGGTTACGAATTTTGCTCTGGGAAATGTCAAAGGCTAAATTGAATCTGACAACAAAAGGCTACAAATCAATACACTTCCCGGATTGACCAAAACAAGTCCCTACCGTTTTGCCTCTTAAATTTGGAAGCAAGCCCTTGAAAGTAGCTTCTACACCAAATAGTCACTACTCCCTCCATTAAAAAATATATAAGGCATTTTTAATCATATTACACCGCCAATAACTTAGTTAATTGTTTTTAAACTAACACCATCTTTCCATATCTGCCTTTATTTGATAAAGTGTCTCACTTAAAAGTGAAGGATTTAATAATTTATTTATTAAGGGTATTTCTAGAGAAAACTCATTAATTACATTTTAAAAAACTAAAAATGCCTTGTGTTTTTAAACAAAGGGAGTGGATATTTAAGCAAACAAAGTACAACATTTGAACTCTATAAACTATTGACTATGACATTGTATGATTTATTCTGGAACAAGAATAAAAAGAAAAATTCAAAATGCATGCAAATTCGCACAAGCAACTGGCAAGGTAGCATGCAATGAAAAATTGAAGATACTATGAAGCTGGCAAAGCATAAAGACTACTAAGTGAAAAGGTGATTAGTCCTTATATGTTAAAAGATTTTGATGGGTACCTAAGTAGGATAGAAAATCCTACCCCAAAAGCTAGCTACTAAAGCAAGAGAACCAACCCACTTGTATTTCACATTGAACATTCCATACTACTCTATGTGGGATTTTGGTATCTCATACTACTGAGTCTCCATTAAGTGGCCCCCCATAGAAAGCCGATGTCCTGGTGGTTGCACTCCACAGCCCTTAACTCAACCTCCTTCTAGTCAAAACCCTCCATAGCTAGCCCTCTTTGGAACTGTTGACAACAAGGTTCTGATACCAATTGATGTGTACCCAATTGGGATAGGGAATCCTACTCCAAAAGCTAACTATTGAGATGAGAAACCAACCCACTTATATACCACCATGGAGCGTCCCATACTACTTAATATGGGGCTTGGTATCCCATACTACCAAGCCTCCATCAGATTTGCTTAAGAAGAAGTAAGTGATATGTGCAATTAATGTTAAGACGAAGTCATTGTTAAGAGAATTGGCTGGCTGAAAATTTTATGAAGTAACTATGCACATAGCATTGTATTACATCCAGAGTTCAAATTGTAATATACTTTAATTCTATGATAGTTATTTGTTATTCTTCATATATTTTATTCCCCTTTATATATATATATATATATATATTATTATACTTTATTATAATATAACTTATTTCTATTGAAGAATTTTTTTACTTTATGTGCTGGGGGAAAAAAAGCCCTGCACACCATTTACTTAAAGTGATTTTAAATTATTGTGATAATTTTTGAAAAAATCAACACTCAACAAATTTTATCCACTTTTCTTAATTTAAGTGATTCATTAAAAGCACATGATAAATAGGATCAAAGGGAGTGTAGTAGTTCACAAAATCAAATTCATTCTATTTTCCTTTTTTAAAACAAATGATTTAAGTTTAGCTAATAGTTAGCGTGTAAGATAAACTGACCTTGTTTGATATGACATTCCAAAGTCCATCACTAGCTATTATTATAAAATCTACACCATCAATCTCTTCTTCCTAAGCCACAAAAGTAATGAAAAGGGTGGGAAGTTAGCAGACTAGATAGGATATATACGACAATACAGGGTTAACAAAGAGAGGTCAAGCTTATAATTTTAGACAACCTGAATTTCTGGATCAGCAACAACATATGGCTTGAGAAATTTGTCACCAAATGCACGGGAAACAGCTAGAACACCACCAACCCGCCATGTGCCTGTCAAGATATGCAGGAGGGTGAACAACTTTTGGTGGCGTTTGGATTGATGAATTTATATTTCAATTTTAGATTTTAAATCTTGCATTTCAAATCTCACATTTGAAATCCATGTATTTAAAATACTTTATTTGGGTAGTTTAAAAAATTTCAAATGAAGAAGAGAGATGAACTAAGATTTGAAACAAAAATAAAAAATTAAAAATGACAAGTTTATTTATACTTTTTAATCAATAAGATATGAGGAAAGATATGATGGTCAAAGAAATATCAATAGTAAAAATACAAAAAGAACATGTTCAAAGTGACTAGAATTTTAAATGACTAGAATGTAGAGGGAATTTGAAATTACAAAGGAATTACAATTTAAAATAGATTTGGATTTGAACTCATAAATTTTTGTGTATCCAAATGAAGGATTTAGTCCAAATCCAAATCCTCATTAATCCAAACATACTATTAGTGTTATCCATGAAATGAAATTCTGCAGAAATTGCAAAAAATACAATCATACTTGCTTTCTCTATAAGAGCCAACCAGTAAAGTTTTACTTCCATGAAAGAGGAAAAAAAAAATTCCCAAATTTGCATCACATGTTCGACCAAAACATCTTCCCTCTAAACTAAAATACTTGACTCCTAATCAGTTCATCTTATTGTTTACCTATAATTCTTAAATCCTTCACTGCTAAAGATAATTTCGATAGAATAGAAATATATCTATGAACAGTAGGTGGTTAAAAAGTTCCTAGTAACTAGCAGTCTCCTATTTCACCATCTACGCCTGTAGCTGGACAGCCTACTCTTTTCAGAAGCATGGCTCTAGATGAGCTAGGCCAGGCCAAGCTTTTAGCACGACAAAACTTATCCAGTGAAGATGGAGCAAGCCCAAATACAAAACCAAGCTTTAAACAAACAAAAACTTGTGGTCAAGTTCAGTTTATTTGATAAATGAACCAGATTGAAACGGATTACAATTAATACAATAAATAGAAGATTATATTTACATACACATATTAAGCAAAACTAAATTAAAAATCATAAACTTTTTATGCAATATCTATGTATTGTATGTAAAAAAAAAAATTATAAAATATATATATATGATGATAAACTTTTGCAATTCTATTCTTCAATAAATCTACATATGATTGCAGTCAATCAGATAAAATAACAATTTATTGCTAATCTAGCTGTTCCCATGCTTAACAAGTGAAATAACAAATTTTAAAACTAGGCTCGTCTAATTAAAAAGCTTGGTATGTTGTTCAAGCTTGTTCATTTAATAAATGAGTTGAGGCTAACCCGAACACAGGACCAGTCAAACCTGAGTAGTTCACAAACAGTTCAATTCATTAGCATGCAACCCTCCTCAGAAAGCTTACTATTGCCAAACAGAGACGCTACTAGAAATTTCCTTGTCCTAGTACGGTTTACAAGCCATTAAATTAACCCACACAAGGTCTCTAACGTGTAATTGCTTCCAACTGCACTGACTCCAGAATCAAATATTAGATACCCATAACTCATAGATGAAAGACAAGATACGGGTCAGTAGAGCACTGGTAACAACCAAACAAAAATAATATTTAAAAAAAAAGATACAAGAGCAAAAATACCTGCCCAAATGATGAATCCCCCAGCCTCTTCGATTCTATGACGTTCATCAGATCTATCAGGTTTGTGATCAATTGACAAAGGGACAGCTACAACAAGACCCAAAAAATTCACACGACAGAAAAGAAAGAAAACGGGGGCAAACATCAAATTGAATGTTGATGTGTGTATTTTATAACATTTAAAACAGCACAACGCCCTAAACTTAAGCCATCCTAAACCACCTTTGCAGGACAACTTTATGTTTCCATTGATCAACATACTGGGAATATTAAGTTTCTTCCAAATTCAAACCTAATTGGTTCTGCATGCCAAAAACTGAGAAGGCACCAACCTGAACCAGCCCTAGAAGCAACTACTCTAGAATCACCAACATTGGCAACAACAATTCGGTCCCCCATCAATACAGCTGTTGATGCAGTGGACCCAGCATCTCTATGATGATCCTTTTCCTCTTTTAGGTAATCGACATCTGTCTGTTTAAATGCTTCAACTGCAATAACGAAAAAATTATAAGAAAGCGAACAAATTTCTTCTTCAAGATAGCCCAGGTAGGAAAACAGCATGGCCATGTACTTTACACCATATAGTAAGGAACAGAGAACAGAACTGATAGCCTCAAGCATCCAAACAGATTTTGTATGCATCAACAGTTAATCTCATCATTACTAACCCTTATTCACACTGTTCAGGTGGATTAGCAGGTAATAAAATAAGCTAGTTATCTTAACTTGCTTCCTTCACTAAACTAACCATGACAATTAACTGACAATTAATAATCCCTTAAAAAAACTCTCAAACCACATTAGCCATGGCTCACATGCTGTGCCATTTTTTTCCTCCTTGCCTTATCTCTCTTTTTATTCTTCTTTCCCCAGCCCCCTTCTTTTATGACTTTTGTGCACAGCGTGAAGCCTGCCTAAAAAACATGATATAAAAATGTTGTTCATACAGTCATACCAATAGCCGTCTTTGTGTCTTTGATAAAGTCAGGATGGCTACTTATATTCTTAAAGAGATTCTTTTTCAGGTATTCAGCAGTCCGAGAACCTCCATGACCTGATGAGAAACAAAAACAAGTAGACATATGAATAAACGAGGTAAAATAAAGAACAATCATGAGAAAGAATGACAAGAGGCAGGTAGATATACAGATTTTAGACATCTAGATCCAAATCCAAAGCAAATATCCATAATCCAAATACTAATTGAAATTTGATAAATTTTTATATTTCTAATACATGTTCCTAAAATACCTAAATAATTTTACAAGGACAGAGCATTAGGCATGGGACAAAGAATATCGGAAATAGAGATGAATATAAGATATAGGCTAGATTCTGATACAGCTCTGCTCTATATTAAATGCTTTCAACAGAACCTTAAATGCAAGAAGAGAATAAATGAGGGAAATACTGAGGTTTTGATATTAAGATATAAGTATCGAATCAGTGTTACAAAAGAGAAACTCACTAATTCTGGCCAAAACCCTATTCCCTATGAATGAAAATTACAAGCAAAAGGAAATAACACAGAAATAAGAACAAGGTCTCTCATTGGTGCTCAAGAGACCAGCACTCTCCTCACTTCTAACTTACAAAAACATTCTTGAGTGCTAACCAAAACAGCAACAGCAAAACAAAGCAAGCAAAAGATGACCCTCGTATCTGAACTGAGTCTAAGCCACCATACCATACATCACGGCTTAATCCTTAATTTCTGGATCCTTAGGATATTAACTCTGACCCACTGGGTATTTCTTTTCTACACCCACCCACCCCCTTGATCTCCTCTTGTAGGTCTGACCATATCTCACAGTTACATCAGATTCCATTCAGATATAGTATAGAACTAGACATTTTTTCTGTGCGCTGCATGGACTCTACAGTGAGTCACATTATTCATTATGTTCAGTTCACAGATTAGTTAACTTGATAGTAGTAGGTAACCAATTCATCAGTCTAGGAGATCAACTGGATTCTAGGAATTACTATTTCATATTTATTTGCAGCCGTGTGACGGAATCTCCAGTTTCCAATAATCTATATAAGCCAAAAAGAATGGCGTAAAGTCTCTCTAATTTGGAAAAAGTAAATTCTAACTTACTGATTTAGGAATTCTAGGCTAATACAGTATTTGTGAACTGACTTTGGTTATCATGTTTCTGTGTTACTTGAGCTAAAAGCCCAACCCCCACCATCTTAAACTCGTAATTCCAAAAGGTAAAACCAGAAGATAATCCACCAAACCCTTGTGAATTTTTGTCTTTTTTTAAATTTAATAACTTTAAGAATTGTAAGAATCCATCATGAACAAAAGAAGTAAGTTTCCTAACTTTGTCTCAAGCCATATAGCAGCAGATGAAACGTGACAAAAGATTTTTATTACTGATAAGTTAACAACTAAAGAAAAATATAAGAGATAACAGATTATTTAGAATTATATATTTTCTGATTTTTAAGTATTTTCTTACTTTTATTATTTCTATCTCTTTATCCTATACGCTCCCATATAAAGGCCTGTGCTATTGTATATACAGTAGTTTTTTGGGGGAACGAAAATGTTGGTTCAGAATTTTGCCCAATCCCTCATATTCTTCCGCTCCTCTCCTTTCTCCCTCAGATCTCCCTCATCCCTCGTGTTTCTCCCTTGTTCTTTCATTTATATCCCTCTTTGCAGCTGTGTTCTAAATTGCTATAAGTTGAAGCAGACAAGAAAAGGTAACACCCTTTTCTCAATTTTATTCCACAAAATATTAAAAACAATATCATAACACATCTAGATAACGAACTGCTTTTTACTTTTTACCGAAAAAATAAATAAATAAATAAATAAGAAACTTGTGTGCTGGAAAACAGGAGCTTTCAACATACCATCAAAAACAGCAAAAAAGGCAACCATCTGACCATCAACCTCTGATACCCTTGTCTCATAGAAATCCTCCATTGAAGTCCTTTTACCCTTGAAACTGGAATATCCATAACTGAATCTTCCATTTCGACTTCCCGAGAGACAGCTAATAAAAGATAGACAACTTTAGTCTCTCATGTAGTTGATTGTTTTAAAACCAATAACAACATAAACAAACTATTGAAGGAAATCCCACATATCCTGGTGTTTTTAATCAGTCTTAGGAACTTCCAAAGTCCTAGTAATACAATACTCATGAAATATATCCTTTATCAAAAAGGGGTGGAAAGAGAAATCTTTCATACCATCACACATTTTCATGATATCCCTCCTCTAGCGTATAAAAGAGTAAGAACAACTAAAAATACTTAGTACGTGGTATCTTCTATGATAAAAATAGCATAAATATGTTCATAACCCCCTCAAATTTTATTTGGTCAGTGATTAAAAAACGGTTTCTATTCCAAACCTCAGTTTTACCTAGTTTTAGTTTCTGAACACAAATTGTACTGTTAAGAGATTATGTCAGTGGATTAATGAAAGGAAGATTTAAGTATTAGGGTGGTAGTCAAAACTTCTAAGCAAATCAGCTGAAAGACAGCAGGTAGAAGAAGCTATTGGAAAAAATTTCAAGGCCCGGAAGAAAGCATTTATTGCCCAATTGAAATCAACTGGCAAGGCTACTGTTTGTTAAATCCGGCAAGTTACTCTGAAACTTGTCCAACAAAAGGTTTTCAGTTTTTTACATCAAGTTTTAACCGAAACAATGGAGATACATAAAATAGTAGGGGGGATAAAAGAAAATTATCAATCAGTAATTAGTAAGGGCAAGATCTACACACCAAATTTGTCCTACTTACCATAAAAACAGTTAAATTTTGGAGGTCCAATTTTCCGAACAATTTCAAATGAAAATCAAAAAAAGGTTTGCGATAACTTTGCAAATCCTCAAAGAAAACTCCTCTTAAATAACCATTTATTGACTGGACGGCAAGACAGAGGCCAAGAAATAATTCTTTGCCAAAGAACATTTGCTGAGAGAAATTTTTATTGAAAACACAAACATTCTGTTCAAACCATAGACACTATAAGCCTGCAGACACAGCACCATGCCAAGAGACCTTTTGCACCTAATGACTCTCAAAACCTTTAAACACAACAGCTTATAAAGGTCTGCATCCACTGGTGGCTTTGTGGAGAAATACTACATAATTAATAGATCTTTGGAAAGAAGCGGATCAGAAATTCTCCCTCAATTGACATGTTTATCTAAATCCTTTACCTTTGTGGCATGAAAATTGTAGGTGCGCTCAACCAAATCATTAAACGCAAATTTGAACCAATATCACAATGAGCTAGAAACACTTAGATATCAATCATTAGACACTAGTATTAACGTTAAAAATATTTTCAAAGAATGACTAATTCACAACTAGAAACACCTAAATGCTGTCCTATAAGAGCACTGTTTGACCTAGAGGATGCAAATAAAAATTCCCACACTTACAGAAACTTAACACACAAAAGTAGATCTCCGGAATATCAAGTCAATCCCCTTTAAAGGCAATTTGGTCTGTATAGAAATATCCCATGATTATTCATTCAGAATTGCATGGATTCACAGACACTAAAATGTTGAAACCACCATTGAATGAATTCCTGCCTTATTTTTTTATCTACAATAACAACTACAACAACAATAACAACAAGTCTTATCCGACTAGGTGGGATCGGCTCCATGAATTGCATGATGCCATTGTGATCTATCAGCAACTAAACTTTTAAAAAATTTTGTTAATCAAAAGGTCTCATTCAACAACTTAGATGAGTGTTTTCCTTAGTCTTTCTCTATTCCTCTCTACAAAGCTCAACACTATCTATTATACTCTCCTCATCGAGGCCTCTAATGGCCTTCTCTATGCATATATAAACCATCTCAAATGATTTTTCAGTATTTTCTCCTCAATAGATGTTCATTATGGATTTTATCTTTTTATGCATACTCACATATTCATCTTAATATTCTTATCTCTATTACTCTAATTTCATGCTCTTGTTGTCCCTTTAAAGCCCAACATTCACTATCATATAACATGGTTGGTCTTATAGTAAACAAATAAAACTTTCCTTTAAGCTTATTTGGTATCTTCCAATTACAAATAACTCCTTTAGTATTTCTCCATTTAAACCACCCACCTTGTATCATATGCACAACATCCCCATCAATTTCACCATCATTTTGAATAATCACTCCCAAATATCTAAATTTTTTCACTTGTGATACGATCTAATCTCTCAATCTCACTTTTAAATTACTACTTATTGACCTCTTATTAAAATTACAATTCATATATTCCATCTTATTCCTATTAAAGCATTAATTTCTTCTCCTGACTCAACAAGGAGAACTATGTCATCCACAAAAGGCATGCAATTTGGAATTTTCTTTTGAATATGTTCAATCTGAACATCTAAAACAAGGTCAAACAAGTAAGGGCTCAAAGATGATCCTTGATGTAAGTCAATCCTTATAGGAAAGTCCCTTGTCTCACCGCCAAATATTCTTACATTGGTTGCTGCCTCTTCATACATATCTTGTATAAATTTAATATAAGCAACCCGAACTCCTTTCTTTTTCAAGGCCTTTCAAAGTACTTCTCTTAGTACACCATCATACTCTTTTTTTCCAAATCAATGAAAACCATATGTAGGTCTTTACCTTTGTTTTGATACTTCTCCATTAATCCCTTTAGTAGATAAATTGAATCTTTCATAGGCCTTCCCGGGATGAAATCAAATTAGTTCTCAAAAATAACAATCTCCAACCTCAACTTATGTGCAATCACTCTTTCCCACAATTTCACTGAATTACTCATAAGCTTAATCTTTCAATACTGTCTCCAACCTCAACCTCAACCTCAATCTATCTCCACTAACAACTGATTTCAACAACTTAATCACAAAAGTTAACAAATTTATCTGGTTCGTACAGACCATGATGCAAAATAAGATTCAAGAACAAGAAGAAATCTTTATATGAATCTTAATATATTCAAGATGTTCCTGACAAATCCTTGAAAACCCAACATACAGCCAAATGATGAACCGAATTCACTAATGTAGGAGCAACATTATACAAATTGCTATGCACAAATCCCCCACTTGCCATGTACCATGACGAAGATATGCTAACAACATTCAGGCATGATAAGAGACCTCCATCCTATTCATAATTCCCCCATAAAAACTTGAAAACCCAATATGCAGTCAAATCAAGCCCAACAAGGAAAGGGGAAGACCGAATGAATTTGATAGGTTGAAAATTTCAAAGAAACAACCGAATTCAACGCACAATCAAGAGCGAAAAGTGGGACCCACCTGATACCGCCACCGCTGAAGATAGAATTGGAATCCATGGAGGAAATCACAAGTTTCGGTGCCGGCGGCTGTACTGCTTGACCGGAATCGGCGGAAGACGAAGCGGAAGCAAAGTGGGATGATGAGTCCGCCGCATTGGAAGAGGCTGAAGCAGAGTCTGTAGAGGCCGAAGCAGTGGGAGGGGCAGGAAGGTCCGTATCTGTAATCATTCTGCCATTTCAGTGTCAACAAGCGTACATTTCCTTCGAATTCTTCCGCCTTTCCGTCTTGCTTTGTTCTTCAGACCTGCTGTGTTTTTAGTTGCCTCGTTTATTTCGCTCCTTTTACCCCTTGTCGTCTTCGCGAAGTGTAACTTACACTTCTTGTATTTTGACTCAAAATATTTGGAGAATCACAGTAAAGACCAACTAATTTTTTTTTTTTTGAGGCCAATTAAAGACCAACCAATTTTAAAGTATTAAAAAAGTTTTTTTTATCTTAATGAATCTAACCATTTTAAAAGTTTATAAATGTGATTCCTTATTTTATAATTTTATTATGGTATATTTGTAACTTTTTTTAAAATTTTAATAAGAAAGGTAAATACTCATTTTTTATGTTCAAAGACATGCATAATTCAAAAAAGCAAGGTCTTTTGTAAATTTATAAAACTATTAGACTTAGTATGTTTAAAAATAAACATTTATCTTTTCTATTAAAATTGAAAAAAAAAGTTATAAATATATCACAACAAAATTACAAAATTAGTGGTCAAATTTATAAATTTTTGAAGCTATTAAACTTAATAATTCCCAAACTTAGTGATCAGTTAGTTGAGAGGTTTTTGCTCATCTAAAAAATAATTTTAAAAAAATTTCCTACTTATTAATATAGGATATATAGCGCTTCTCAAAAGAAAGTATGAGGGCAAAGATGTACTTTAACTCCATTTAATTTAGGTAGCAATTGTTGATATTTTCTTGCCCTAATAGAATTTAAATTTCATGATTAATTATTTGGAAATTTTTAATCAATAAAATTGATATAATTCATCCAAATATTTCCTTCTTTCATATACCAATTTTCTTAAATTCTTTCCAATTGAATAATTTTATATAATTACACTTTAAGACTTCATACTTTCATAAATTACATTCAGACCTTGATTAAGATTGACATTTTCGAGTCAATGTTTACTCTTGTTCAATTTTAACCATGGGCACTTTCTCATAATCTCATTACATCTAGTTGAATATAATAACCTTTAAATATTAATAATTATTATTTGGTCTTGAATATGCTATCACTTTTACTTGCTTTTCTTCCATTTCCTTTCTTAGCCTGATTACAATTAAGCCATCTAAGAAAAAATTAAAGATACCCTCTCTATAATAGTTAATCAAATTTAAGAAGTTTATGCTTTCTAAACTCATCTCAAGCCATCATCTTTCTAGAGAACTACCATATACTTTATAACTCAATGACTTTCTATTAGGTCTACTAAAATTATGAGATTTGACTGCAATCTCAAAATTTAACTACAATTTCACTAAGTCTTTTTTAGATCTATTACGATATATATGATTTAACTATAATTCTTCTTTAGGAAATTTAGGACATAAAGATAAAGTTATCAAATAACTCTACCTTTATTTAATCTAGCAATTTTATTAATTATTCTTTGAGATTGATCTTTAATATCTTTTTTACTCTCCTAGGCCTTGTTTATTCTTGTTGTCTATCCTAGACATTATTTAGATTTTAACTTGCTCATTTCATAGTTTCAAACATCTCCTTAAAGTTTTTGAAAATGTTATACTTTTGTCCTAGAAAGCCTTTAAAATTATGATTTGATCCCTAAAAACTATTCTATCATTTTAGGGCACCTTAACTTGGACTTAATATCTTACTAAATTTTGGCATATTTTTGAGATTCTAGACTAAAAATTTGGAATGTTACACCTTAAAAAATAGAGAATTTTAAAATATTATGATGCTTTTATAATGTAGAGACAAAGTAATTATTAACGTGGATTTTTTTGGCCAAAATTATACGTGTACATTGAAATATTAGAAAAATTATAAAATAAATAATAGAAAATTTAAAATTATTCAAATTTAAATTGCAAATTCCCCAATGACAAATATGAAAGTAAAATAATATAAATTAATATATTATAAATAAATTTTAAAGGGAAAATGAACAAATTACTTGAACTTTTAGTTCAAATAGCAACATAAATCCTAAACTTATTTATTATGTAAATTTTTTTCTCAAATTTTGAAAATAATACAATCTAATCCCTGTTATTAGTAAAAGTTAGCTTTGACTGATAGCTGACTAAAAAACAAAAATTATATAAAAAGAACAAAAAATACAATAAAGAACATAAAAATTGAAAAGCAAGGACCTAAAAAATGACCAAAAATACCAAAAAAAATTTCTAATCCTTTACTGTAATTTTTAGGTCTTTTCTATCATTTTTTGTTGATTAACAATCAAAATTAATTTCTGTTAATAACCATTTTTAAAAAGTTAGGAAAACAATTTGCACAATAGATGAATTCAAGGTTTATGATATTATTGAACCTAAAATTTAAGAATAATTTACTCATTTATTCAATTTTAAATTATTCAGGGGTGAGATGACATTCATTTTATATTCCCATTATGAATTGTTATGAAAATATAACAACGAGGAATTTTTAGTTGTCTTGTTTTGTCTGTTTTGTTTTTGCTTTAGTTCCGATTTTTTCTAAAAAATTAAATTATAATACATATCAAGATTGATACAGTATTATACTATTCTAAGATTTAATGAGATAATTAAAAATACATATTTTAGAATATCATATTATTTAAAAAAATTTACTATTTTTTGACTCAATGAGATAATTCAAACTTGATCTTTTAAAAAAAAATCATTTTTATGTTTTTGACCAATCATATCACTCTAGTTGATTTAAAAAAAAAAACTGTAAATAAGAGATTTCGTGGATGATAAATCACATTGAAAACAATATAAAATAAAAATTTACTCAATTTAAGATTATTCAAATTTAAATGACAAATTTTAACTTAAACTAAGATAGATTAATATATTATATATAAAATTTAAAGAATGCAGGGGCGAGATGAGCTTAATTTTATATTCAAATTATGAATCTTTATTAAAATATAACTAATATAAAAGGCAATACAGTATCATTTAAGATTTAATAAGATAATTAAAAACTCATCTTTTAGGTATATTATATTATTTAAAAATTGATATTATTTTAATATTTTATGAGAAGTCTATAAATAAGAGATCACATGAAAGAGAAATCATATTTTTAAAAAAATTATGAAATAAAAACATTACTGAATTCAAAATTATTCAAATTTCAATTACAAATTTTCTAATAACAAATATTAAAGTAAAATAAGATAAATTAATATATTATATATAAATTTTGAAGTATCGAAAGTGAGATGACACACACACATATATATATTATATTCAAATAATGAATTGTTATTAAAAAATAAAAAATATCAAAAGTAATAAAATATTATTTTAAGATTTAATAGCATACTTTAACACTCATCTTTTAGAAATATTATATTATTTCAAAATAATTTTTTTAAGATTTAATGAGATAATTCAAACCTCATATTTTAAAAGTATTATTTTTATTTTTTGACCAATCATATCACTCTAATTGACTTTGAGAAGCCTATAAATAAGATTTTTCATAGAAGAGTAATCACATCACATCACATTATATCTAAAGAGTGAAGATTTAGACTTTTGGCAACGATAAGCAAGATTTAGACATCTGGGAACGACAACAAGTAAGTTTTTTCTTGCCCCTTAATCTTATGCTTTTCTTGTTTAAAAGTTCCTTTGGCGTAATTGTTATGTTCGTCTACTTAGCTTGCAAGCCTCAAAAGATTTCATCTATGATAAGCATATGCTGATATTAAAAATGTAGGATATAATACGTTTCTAATACAAGCTCTTTACAGTAATACTAAGTAAACATAATCACTAAGCATATGTTTGTTCAGTGTAAACATAATTGTCTACCACCTAATTCCTATTAATACATATGTTATGAGTATATAAAGATAGTTTCTATATTTGATTCATCAAAAGATTTTTTTTTTTTTTTTTTTTGCAAGAACCAAAAGATAACTTTGCTATTTTAAGTACCAGCAAAGTTATCATTCCATTCATCTCCACTAAAAAGATACTAATAATAAAAACTTTAATGTCACCATCTCTAATAAAATTTAATTTTTTTAAAGTATCGACTTTGAAGCATTAACTCATAATTTAAAAATATTGAATGTGTATCAAAAAATAATTTTTTTTAAAATTAAAAATAATATTTCGATATTTTATGAATACATATAGAAAAAGCATAGGCAAGTATCAATACTTAGGATTTCACCATATGATGTCAAACAATATTTTCTCCTATGAAATTTAAAGATTTTTATTTTATTTTTAATAACATCCACAAAAATATAAAATTCAAAAAATATAATAAATTTAGAATACAGAAAAAATAACTATTCCAACTAAGATTGAATGTGAGTGGTAAATTCAGATTCATTATCCCATCACGTTAGATGATACAATTTGCTTAAAGAAGACGCACAGCACCAGACCCTCGACAGAAATTTTTCAAACACAAACATGCATGATGCAATAGTATTGTATTCAAGATTTAACCAAAAAAACAATTTATATCCATTAATTTGAGGTGAGTAAATTTTCAAGATTGAAATATTTATTATCTTTTCAATTTTGGTCATTAATTTTATGGATTAGGTTGTTATATATATAAATTCTCTACATTAATTTTCTATTTTCTTCATCATATTGTTGATTTATTCTTTCTCATATATAATTAGTTTATCTTGTCCAGGACAAATTAATATTTTCCTTCCAACCAACATTTCAATTCAAAGTTGAGATTTGAAGTGATGACAACCATCCAAGACGACATGGAAGATTATTTCGACATCAATTTTAGAGTTATTTCTTCCATGATCTCACCTGAGACAGGACTTCAGGAATCAACATCATTTCTCGTGTTTGAACCTCCTTTCTTAATACAGTGCGAGGAATTACTCGAAGATGTTTCAGGATTTCTTCACAGAAATTTATCCAACTATCTCAATGAGCCTGACTTTCAGCTGCTGGGATCTCAAATCATAGATTATTATCAAGAGACACTCCGACGTGCTCCCTCTATAACTGCAAATGCTCTTATAATACCATTACATATTGATATATTACTACCCTCTCAAGATCATGAAGAACATCAATACATGATTGAGTCTGGCGACGATGATCCTG